TCCACAGACTCTGTAGTAAAGTTCCCTCTTCTTGAGCTTAATACAATCATGGGTTCAAAACATGGCCTACAACATGCAAAGGCCGATGGAGTTGGTCTGACCACCTTGCATCAATAATTTCAAACACTTTCTCATATTGCTTCTTAACTCCACGAAAACCCCGTGTAATAGTTTCTTTGGCTCTATCCATTGCTTCATAAATATAGCCCATTGTTGGTTTTTTCTCCCCATCCACCAAACGAAGCACTTCTGTCAAAGGGCCACAAACTGTAACTTCTCGAACAACATCATCCCAAAAGTGGACAGAAATAATAAGATTGGCAACTTCTTTCTCAAAGTTTCCTTTGCAAATTTACTTGAAGTCCATTCGGTTGAGAGGACTAAAGTTCTCAAGTTTTTTCTTTGTATGTACATAGCTCTTAAAGTCAAGAAGGCTGTTGCAAATCTTGTCTTGGCCGGTTCCACCAAATTTCTTTCCTCGGTGAATTTTCTCATCAAGCTTAACAACAATGGCCTTTGATTAATGTAAGAATGGATTCTGATGGCCTTCTTAAAAACTGTTAAAGTAAGATTATAGTAATTAGTAGCTAATGAGTATTAAATATTGACTATAAAGAAAGTTAGAGGATAGGAGAGTGATATTACCGGAAGCATATGGCTTAACCTTGAATATGTCACCAAACATCAAGTTGATGCAATGAGCGGCACATGGAGTCCAATAAATGTGTGGGTACGCACCCATCATCATGCTTTCCGCTTTAACATTCTCACTAGCATTATCGGTGACACATTTCTCGGTCCAATTCTTTCAATAGTGCTTTCAAACAACTTGTACATTTTGGTGGAATCAGTAGATCCATTACTAGCATCAATAGAACCAAGAAATACACTACCGATTGGAGAATTCACCAAAATATTGATGAGCATTTTACCATTTCGTGTCGTCCATTTGTCCATCATAATGGAACATCCAAACTTTGTCAATTGCACTTTATGCTCATCAACAATTTTTTCCACTTTCTCCACCTCTTTTTTTAGGTGAGTAACTCTAACTTCATGGAATGTAGGAAGCTTCATTCCGGGGCCATGTTGTCCTATTGTCTCAATAAACTTATCAAATGATTTGTAATTGACACAATTAAAAGGGAGTCTCGCATCATACGTCCATATTGCAAAAGCACTTACCGCACGCTCTCTTAGAATTTTCTTGGTTTCATCAATTCCTCCTCCTTTTTCAAAGCCTCCTTTTAGTGTTGATTTTTGTGGATAATAGAGATTCATAGGGCCTTTCGTCACATTCTGCGCGGTGGATGATGCACCTCCACTAGAAGATATCTTTGGAGTTTTGGAGGGCCGCATCATTTCAGCATATTCATCCATATCATCAACATCATCAATATCAACATATTCTTCTGGCTGCCTCACTTGAAATTATGGATTATTAGCGATTTTATTTTGCATATAAGCCCTTAGTTCTTTTCTAATCGCCAACGGACAAGCTGAACATTGTTTTACATTTTTGTAACCACCCACTAAATGTTGCTTGTGTCGAGTAATTCCACCATTAATAGTACTCCCACAAAAGTTACAATTAACCGAATCTTTCGTTAATCCTTGAGTACCATAATTCCATCCAATGTCCCTCTTTTTTCTAGCATCCGACGTCATTGAATTCACTATTGTACAATACAACAGATACTATATTAATTACTATAGAAGAATTAATTAATTTTTACTAAAATAATAGACAGCACAGTGAAAGCAGTAGCATTCAGCAGCATTTTACAGTGAACAAAGAAAACAGAGGAAAAAAACAGAGCAGTGAAGGCAGCAAGCAGTAGTATCTCAAAATCTTTTTTTTTTAGAGAAGGCAGTTCAGAACTTCTAGATTTTCAGATTCACTTCACAAGAAATTGAACAGAAGAAAAGAAGAAAGTAAGAGAAGAAGAGGACTGAAGAGAAGAAAACGAAGAAAAGAAGAGAAGAAGAAAGAAAAGAGGCCATACCTTTCAATTCGCGCGAGTCGACTAAAGGAGAAGAAGAGATCGCGAGGTTGAGGAGAAGAAACGCAAGTCGCGACTGACCCCAAGTATGGAAATATGAAAAAAAACCCTAATTTTGACTAATATTATAAGTCAAGACCTTTTTAAAATTTTAAAACAAAAAGGCGCCGCCATTCAGGTCGCCATTACGTCACCTCACGTCGCCTAATTGATCTCACTGCGCCTCACTGAGAAATGGCGTGACATGCTCGCCTCGCCTCGCCATAGCGCCTTTGGCGAATGGCGAGCGCCATTAAGAACACTGCCTCAGAGTTAAAAGACTTCAGGCCAATTAGTCTTGTTGGGGGTGTATGCAAGATTAATTTTAGATTATTGACCAAGAGAGTTAAGAAAGTGATTGATAAACTGATCAACAGGCACCAAATGACATTTATTAATGGGAGGCAAATAATGAAGGCAACACTAATAGCAGTGAATGTATTGATTTTAGAATGAAGAGTGGGAATTAGGCAAATGGGGTTTGGGAGCAAATGGTGAAGTGGATAGAATTCTGTATCAAACAATCAGATTCTCTGTGCTTGTGAATGGAGAACTTGTGGGCTTTTTTGCTTCAGAAAGGGGCTCAAGACGGGGATTCCCTATCTCCTTTCCTCTTTATTCTTGCCATGGAAGGTTTTGACAGAATGATGAGAATAGCAGCTCAAAACAAATGGATCAGTGACTTCAGAATTGGAGGTAGTGTAGGTGAGGAGATGGAAATTAGTCGTCTGTTGTATGCAGATTACACCATTATTTTCTGTGAGCCAGTTGCTAAACAGATTAGCTACATTGGAGTGATCCTTGTGTTATTTGAAGCTGTAGCTGGGTTGAAGTTTAATGGGGAAAAACAGTCTATTCCCAGTAAATGAAGTTTACCAGATTCAAGATATGGCCAACATTCTGGGTTGGAGAATAAAAAATTTACCCACAACTTACTTGGGTATGCCCTTGGGTAGTACACACAAATATTTAGCAATTTAGGATGACATTTTGGAGAGAACAGAGAAGAAGTTATCCAGATGGAAGGCTCAGTACTTGTCTCTAGGAAGTAGGTTGATTCTTATTAACTCTGTTCTAGATGCATTGCCCACTTATGTGATGTCCCTCTTTCCAATACCAACCAAAGTTGTGGAAAGGCTAGACAAACTTAGAAGAGATTTTCTATGGCAAGGAAATAAAGAAGGTAAGGGGTATTGTCTTGTGAATTGGAAAATTGTATTGCTCAACAAAGACAGAGGATGTTTGGGAGTCAGAAATCTCAAATTACAAAATGAGATCTTATTTGTGAAGTGGCTATTGATCTATACAAAAGAAGAAAGGGCATTATGGAAGATGTAATTGTGACAAAGTTTGGTGAGCTCAGTCATTGGTGCTCCAATACTCTATTTGAACCCTCTGGGGTGGGGATACGGAGGACCATCAGAAATCTTTGGCCATTGATCGTAGCCTATCTTATCCATAAGATAGGTAGTGGTCACAACTCACAGACAGCTTTGGCATGATGGATGGATTGATCAAGGTCCTCTTAAGGTACAATTTCCAGATCTTTTCCAAGTCTTTACCGACACTGAGAGTAGAGTAAGTGATTGTTGTCAGTTCAGGGTTGGGACACCTCCTTTAGAAGAATGCTAAGTGATTGGGAGGTTGATAGAGTAGTCTCACCACTGGGGAAGTTAGAAGGAAACAACATTGCCACATCAGATGCAGATAAGGTCTTGTGGAAGCACAACAAGGGTGGGAACTTCTCAGTAAGCAGTGCATATAAGAGAGGTATGCAGTTGGCTGGAGGGGGAACTTCTTACCAGTGAAATTATTTCTGGAAAAGTATCATCCCTCCCAAGATAGAATGCTTCACTTGACAAGTGATTAAGAGAGCATGTTTAACTCAGGAAGTCTTGCAGAAGAAAAGGAGACAGTTAGTTCCCAGATGTTTTTTGAGAAACACTACAAGGGAGACAAACACCTCTTCTTATATTGCAGCTTCACCACCCAATTGTGGAACCTATTCTCAACATTACAGGATGTAGTTGGGCCATGCCAGAGCACACCTCAGATCTATTGAGTTGTTGTATCAGGAGGGGTGGAAGTAAGAATCAGATGTAAGGAAAAAAGTAATCATCATGTTGAGATTCTTCTATTTGTAACCTAATTCCTTTTTGTGATTTTGTTTATCATGAAATAATACATTTAGGAACCAGACTGCAAATTGTATTCAAATATATCAAGGATTTGCACACTCGCATTACATCGGGGGACTTATCAGAAACTGGGTTTCTCGATGTAGGCATCCTTCTTCCCTATTTGTTTTGTTGGAAAAATAATTTGGTACATGCTATAGCTACTATCCGATGCAGTGTGCATTTGCAATAAGTAAGTTTTGAATTATGTTTTCTTCTATAGCCTCTTCACACCTGATTGCTTTGTCCCTGGTCGCAAAGATGCTATTCCGTGATATTTAGATTCCTAGCATGTAGTCCTTTCTTGAGTACAGGGGCTCTCTTCCACACACACCCAATAAAGCAGTCACATGGCATATGTAAGTAACATGTATATTCTGCCCACTGTTTTGCATCATAATTTTTTGCTGGCATCTCATCTAGATGGCTGTGGTTTTTTCATAAACATGGTAAACAACTTCACCTGCATAAGAAACACTATTATTCCTCTGATTTACCTCTTTTAATATTCCTTTGACAAAAACTGAAATGTTTGTTTTTTTATCAGGTCGACCTCCTAGAGCCTGTATCACATTTTCTGGAATCTGCTCGGGTAAATTTGGCTCCTGAAAATTTAATGGTGTCAGAGTTGCACAAAGTTGCCAACTTTTATTGTGTCCCACTTCAGGTACTATCTTAAATTTCATAACAGTCAGTTAGATATGTCAAGTCAATTCTTCCCAAGTACAATGTGGATGATCTGTTTCAAAAAAAGTCATAACTTGGTGATGATGAAGTGCCAAAATACAGGAGTACAACAACATACCCAGTAATGCCACAAGTGGGATTTGGGGAGGGTGGCGTGTACGCATACCTTACCCCTACCTTGTGAAGACAGGGAAGCTATTTCCGAAAGACCCTTGGCTCAAATAACACAATTCAAAATATAGGAGTATTAAACAAAATTGAAATATTATTAAATAAAATCCTTTTCACTCAGAAATGAGTAATTTTTAAAATAAAGATGAATTAAACACAAGTATGTGTTGTAGACATGAAATTCATAAATAAAAGTGTCCCCTCCTCTTAACATATTAAAATTTTAGATTAGGTAGAGGGTCCTAGGTTCAAGCTCACCGGCTATCCCTCAACAAAAAATTTTCTATGTGCGTATCTCATTAAGAATCTGATCTCCACATGAGGGGGCATGTTGTAGACATATAAAAAGAATTTCACCTCTTTTTTTTGTTTGAAAAAGGTAACTTTCATTAATATCAACAAAAACCAAATACAAATATTTCAAAGCACTATCTATCCAGTAAATTCAGTGCACAATCTGGCAGAACTAGCAGGAATCATGTGTTGCAACATGGACTCCTTTGCAACAACTTATCTTGGGATGCCTTTAGGTGCAAAATTCAAGGCTAGTGAGATCTGATCGTAATTAATTGAGAAGTTTGAAAAAAGTCTAGCAGCATGGGAAATTCGATATCTTTCTTTCGGAGGAAGAGTAACATTGATTAACAATGTAATGGACAGCATCCCTACTTATCACATGTCCTTTTCCCTATTCCAACAGAAAGAGCTTGACAAAATTAGAAGGAAATTTTCTATGGGAAGACAACAACTAGGATCATAAGTTCCATTTGGCTAAATGGGCAAAAGTGACAACCAAATTCCCAAGGGGTTCTCGGTATCAAAGATTTTGCAGCTCACAATATAAGCATGACAATGAAATGGTTGTGGAGATATGGAATTGAAGACATTGGATTGTGGAAAGAGGTGATCAAATCTAAACATGGTGAGCTTACTCACTGGTGCACAAAAACTTCAGCTATTGCATATGGAGATAGCCAATGAAAAATCATCATTAAACTTTGGCCAGATTATATTGAGAACATCACATTTAGAGTAACATCATTTATACCTCTCTTGGAATCTTTATTAAACTTGTTCATAGTCTCCACCTTCATTAAAAATGACCCCTGAGGTTTCAGGTTCAAAACTTAGAGACAGAAAAACACTAGGTGCTTTCCATCCGTCCTATCCTTGGTGGATAGGGTTACCTGGTACCTGTTGCTGGTGGGAGGTGGCAGGTATCCTGTGGAATTAGTCGAGGTGCGCGAAAGCTGGCCCAGACACCACGGTCATAAAAAATGAAAATGATCTGATCATTCCTCTACTCTCTCTATTATGGGATTCCAAATACAGTGTTTACAAAATTATCCTAATAGTGGACCCAGGAAAGCCTCAAGAAGCAATCCAACCTTATGATTGAGTTCCTTTTATCTTTGCAATGCTTGTGTCTCTTTCAATATGAAAACCTCACTCTTGTTTAGGTTAATATTCAATCCTGAATCCAAATACAATGTTTACAAAATGATCCTAATAGTGGACCCAGCAAAGCCTCGAGAAGCAATCCAACCTTATGATTGAGTTCCTGATATCTGTGCAATGCTTGCCTCTCTTTTAATGTGAAAACCTCACTCTTGTTTAGGTTAATATTCAATCCTGATTCTGTTTGGAATCGTTGTTTACTTTCTTCAACAAATGTTGTACTAGAGCCATCTCTATATTTAAGAACATTATTGTGTCATCTGCAACATTAACTGGACTGTACACTTCAGATTCCTTGCTCTAGTTTAAGTTCCATCAGGTAGCCCTTGATAGTTTCCTATCTTTTATCTTAGTCAGTCTTTCCATTACTTGGATAAACAACATAGGAAAAATTGGATGCCCTTGCTTTAGCCACACTGATAAATCCCTCCTAAAGTAAAAAAAAGACACGGAAAAAAATTTGTTCACTAACAAAAGTTAGTTGACTTTTTCCAAATTGTACCTTTTCTGTATTAAGCTCAAAACTCCTTAATTTGCCATGTGCCTTTGTAACGGCTGGTAGTGGAATTTGAAAGGGTGTACTCGGTGAAGCTTGCCTTAGGAAAATCCTACATTAGAATAGGAGAAAAAAAGTTAGGGGCCATATAAGAGTGAGTTTAGGATTCTGTAGAGACACCTTTTAGGTTGAAGTTCGAGGGACAATTGTGTGGCTCCAAAAGTTGGGAAGAGTGGTGATACCTTGGCAGTTGGACTAGGGTTTTTATAAGTAGTATCAGAGCTGATACATCCCCTAGTATAGTGGTAGAGAATAAACTTAGCGAGGATGCTGAGTCCGTGAGGGGAAGAGGGTAATAATGCACAAATCTCTATCAGTTGAACTTGAAGGGGATTCAGGAGCCCTTTTTAGGCAAATCCCACATCAGAACGCGAGAGGAAAATTATAGACCATAGCGAGTTCATGATTCAACTATTGAGCGTATTTCAGATTCAGACTACACCTAAGAAGACAAAATCGTGAAACCTCAAAGGTTGAGCCAGAACGGAAAATATCTTGGGCTTGAGCTGGTACACCTTCTTTTAAATCCAGTAGTCTACTGGTGCATTTACAACTATTGAAACATTTACAATTTGTCTTTTTTCAACGAATGCATTTGGGGAGGTTGACATCCAATGTTTTCTTACATCTGATAGAGAGTACCTTAGAAATAGTGCAACACTCATGTAAATGCTTCTTGACTCATAGATTCAAAATTCCTAATGCTTTTAACTCATCCTTCCCTGATATGATTGTTACGTAAGGAGCATTTACACTCTTTTCAAAATTGCCAGTGGCTTGAAAAGAATATACCGTCTCCATAGCGTTTTTCTCCCGAACTTTGACACCTCTAGAGAATAGCTCAAAGTGAAACCATATGCACCCCTATTCACAACGTAGAGCCTTATCTTGCTTAAAAGTTCCTGCAAAACTCAGCCATTGTGGACCATATAATCACGACCCCATGCCCACCTCCACGTTGTGTGGTAAACAGGATTTATCTCTATCTACTTCTAATTTATTTTTTCCACTTCTCTTGAGTCGTCAAATTGGAAACATGCTGCTTTCTATATTAATTTTTTTTCTTCTGTTTCCCAAGGGTTGTGTAGGCAGCAGGTGAACAATTTTCTTTAATAATTCAGCTTTTTGTTTCTCCTCATTATTACTATTGAAATCAGGTGAAAGAAAGAACAAATTGTGGTAGGAGATATGCTCAATTTGTTTCTCTGGAACATGGCATTTCAAGTAATGAAGTCCTTATTGCAGTAGTTATCTCTTAATATTTGATACTATGATTTCTGGAAAGAGTAAACGGAGACAATAGTCTGCTGACTTGTTACTATTGCTGAGAACAAAAATGATTCCCCACTTTGCGGTGTTAATAATGGAAATAGATACTTTCCTTTTTTAACTCTTCTTTTGTCTTGTTCTCTGAGAAACCATTTCCTGCGGAATAGTATTTTTTCCCATACATATCTCAAAATCCAGTTATTTCTATTCATAGCGTGTCATCATGAGGCATTAGAAACTCATGACTGATCATTGAGCTTAAAAGCGAATCTCACTGGTTCAACATACCTACCTTTGATTATGTTACTTTCTCTTATATTCGAACGATCTGATTCAAACCAGCATTGGTTTGCAACATTTTTCATGGTAACTAAATACACACACACATGTATATAGATTTGAAACTTAAACTGAAATATTAGCTTACTTATCGCAGTTCATAGTTCTGTCACCTGCTTAACTTTGGGTGTTTTAAAGGTCTGTCTACTGTGTTTAACCGGCTCATTTGTGGATGCACTTTGTTTCCACATTTTTGAATTGGAAAGATTGCCATAATGTTTGTTAATTTTTTTTATCTCTTTCACTTTTAGGTTGTTGTTTACTCATTGTTTTCCCTTTTCTTCTTTTTCTTTTTTCAAGGAATTTACTCCTGATGCTGAAAGATATGACGTTATTTGGGTTCAGTGGTGCATTGGGCATCTTGCAGATGATGACTTCATTGCATTCTTCAAGAGAGCAAAGGTGAAGTGATCTTTTAAAATGAAGTTTTAGTAGGGTTTGATTGTAATAAGTAGCTATTGGCCAATAATATGTCCATGATCCGGTATGATATGAATATTTTGCAAGTTTCAATCAGCTTATGAAACATGCGCAGTAGTGCAAAATAGTGACAAGGTCTATGGGGCTTTAATAATAAATCAGAAGCAGAACACATGCTCCTTAAAGTGAAGTTGACAATTCCAGGCTTCTCTTCTCCTAGGGATCCTAACTTGATATGCAAGCTCAAGAAAGTGACTTATGTTACGGCCTCCGGCAAGTTAAAGCAGGCACAAGAGCTTGGTTAATTTATAGAAAATTAAAAGATATAAAGCATACATGAATTTATTACAATAATAATCATTACAATTAAAGTAGCAAAACTTTGCATCCAATATACATTAATGCAATATTGATCCAACTCTTTAAGATTGAAATTAAAAGAACTGAGCGGTGATGCAAGATTGCAAAGGAGATGAGCTGGCCATTGGGTCGTTAGGCAGTTAGCATATCAAAGTCTGTTAGCACTGTTCATGGAAGTTAGTTAATACTCTCCCTTACTTCCTTTCAGTTAGTTAGCTCAAAACTAGTTACTTGATTAGATTCTTTCATTCATTTTAGTTGTGTATAAGTACAACTTGTAATTGTACTCATGCGCTCATGTTATGAAATACAAATCTCCCCCTATTCTCTATATTTCCTGTCAACTAACTTCTCGGTTTCCCTAAGTTAGTTCCCATCTTCCTCGAGTATTAAGCTCCTGGTTAATTCTTCTAGTCGCGATTACTTGTTACATCAATTGGTATCAGAACAACTGATTCTTGGCTTTGATCATGTGGTCAGTAATAAGAATCCAGACAAATCTTCTGAGGAAGTTGGTTCAAGATTTGCTGTAGAATCTTATGAAGGGTATGGCCAGTATGAATGATAGAAATGTTCAGATCGATAAAAAAATGATAGAGATCAAGCAGACCATTGGTGGGATGAAACAAAAGGATAAAGAGGTGGGGCATTTCTGTGGGAGGTGACTGCTCGAGGGACAGAAGACAGATGAGTCCAGCTAAAGAATTTCAAGCAGGGCCTGCTGTGAATGGAAACTATTTCACCCAATATCCCAAGCTAGATTTTCCTCTATATTCTGGGCACGATTTGAGGACATGGTTGTACAAGGTGAACCAATATTTTTAATGGATGAGATTCCCTTTGACCGAAGAGTGAGGGTAGCTTCTATCATTTGGAGGGTGAGATTATTGCTTGGCATAGATCCTACATTAAGTCTAGGAATTCAGCTGTAAACCTACTTGGACCGAGTAGGTTTTGGCCTTAAATGAGAGGTTTATGGCTTTGAAGACCCAATGGACGCAATTAAGAATTTGCAACAAACTGGTAGTGTGAGGAATTATCAAGCCAAATTTGGTAGAGTATTAACTGGGGTTAAACTCTCCAATGGGAATGCTAATGATTTCTTCTTGGGAGGTTGAAGCTTGAACTGAATATGTCTGTTCGAATTTAAGCACCTAAGAACACTACTGCAGGATTACAAGATTACAAAGCTGCAAAAAGAAGTCTTTGAAGCACAGGCACAATCTTGGGGAACTAGACCTTCTGGTAAAAACCAGAATCCCATTTTACCAAATCCTCTTAAATTTAAGAAATATCAAAGACTTTCATATCAACATGACAATTCATTCAAGAAACCTTTTTGAATCATCCTATAACAGACCCAATAGATTCCAAAAATGGCAATTATGGTAGGAAATTCCTCACTGCGGAGATGGATGAGAAAAGGGCAAAGGACTATGTTTCCTTTGTGATGAGAAGTAGTACATGTTTGTAAAGCTAAGAAGCAACTCTTTCTAGTGGAAGTAAATGAGGAAGGTGAAGTTACATATGAGGAGTTATTTGATCAGATTCTGTCAACTCTGATTCTGTGGATGAATTTGACTATGTCCTTGCAAGTATACTACCAGTGTCACTGGTTATCATTATAAACAACCTTTGCAAAGTCTTATTGATACAAGGAGTACTCATAACTTCATTGATGAAGATGTGGCCAGGAAGCTATGGTGCGTGACTAGTTTAAACTGCCTTGGGTTGAACTTCACCAATACCATGTCCCCTACTTTGTAGTCCGTGGGACACCGCTTGCGGTCAACAAATTTCTTCATCTTTTTGGCTGCCTTGTCCAAGTATGACTTGGCAATGTCGAGTTGTTCCTCCCATCCCTTGGCAAGATGGTAGGCTCCCAAACACTTCCCCTGGAAAGCGACTGGTAGAGAATGCGGAGTTTGGGGTTGTTGCCAGTCGCCAACTCGAACGGTGTGCGCCCGATGGACTCGCTCTGTTGCAAATTATAAGAGAATTGTGCCATGTCGAGGAGCCTTGCGGAATCCTTCTGGTGTGCACTAACATAGTGCCTAAGATAGCACTCTAGTAGGGCGTTGACACGTTCGGTTTGGATGTCGGTTTGCGGGTGGAAACTTGTGGAGAAGTGAAGCTCTGTGCCAAGTATCTCGAATAACTCCCTCCAAAAGTTCCCGGTGAAGCGGGGGTCTTGATCGCTAACGATATGTCTTGGCAGCCCCCAATACTTAACCACGTTCTTGAAAAATAGCCTTGCAGCCTCCTTAGCGGTGCAACCGGCTGTGGTGGGCAAAAAAGTAGCATACTTCGAAAATCTATCCACCACGACCATGATTGTTCCATACCCGTCAAACTTAGGTAAAGAAGTGATGAGTCCATGGTCACACTTTCCCATGGGTGCTCTGCTACGTGTAGTGGCTCCAGTAGTCCTCCCGGTTGCCTTTGCTCCACCTTGTCTTGTTGGCACACAAGACAAGTCTGCATATAACACTCAATGTTGTCCTGCATGCGTGGCCAATAATAGATTGCCTCGATAAATGCCCTCGTACGTCGCTGTCCCAGATGCCCAGCCTACGGTGATCGTGGCTCTCCTTAATGGTTCGCCTCCTGATAGACCCGAACTTGGGTACATAGACCTTCTGACTGGAAGTGAGCAAAAGGTCATCTTCCACCCAAAAGCGCCGTGTCTTGCCTTGGGCGGCCAACTCCATAAGCTTCTTGTCCTCCGAATCGTGTTGCATGCCATCCTTGATCGCATCTTGAATGTCACAATGGGCATTAGTGATGGCAGCAAGCTCGGCCTTCCTACTCAGTGCGTCGGCCACTACATTGCCCCTTCCCGGCTTGTACTCCAAGACGTAGTCAAATTCAGCTAGAAAATCTTGCCACCTAGCTTGCTTCGGAGTGATCTTCTTTTGTGACTGGAAGTAGCTAGTGGCCACATTGTCCGTCTTGACCACGAACTGGGAGCCTCGTAAGTAATGTCTCCATGTGCGTAGGCAATGTACGATGGCCGTCATCTCTTTCTCCTACACCGTGTAGCGCCGTTTGGTCTCATTGAGTTTGCGGCTCTCAAACGCTATTGGATGCCTATCTTGCATTAGGACTCCCCCAATGGCGAAATCCTAAGCATTCGTGTGTACTTCAAAGGTCTTTGAGAAGTCGGGCAGCGTCAAGACTGGCTCTTCTTTCACTGCGGCCTTGAGACTCTCGAACGCCTTTTGACACTCCTCGCTCCAAACCCACAACTTGTTCTTCTTCAATAATTCGGTCAGTGGAGCGGCTTTAGCGTAGTAACCACTTATGAACCTACGATAATAGTTCGCAAGTCCAATGAATGATCTCAGCTCGGTCACCTTTGTGGGCGCCTTCCACTCTTGGATCACTCGGATCTTAGCCTCGTTCATCCAAAGTTCGCCTTGGCTGATTATATGCCCCAAGAAGTGCACCTCGTGCTGGGCGAACTCGCATTTCTCCCGCTTGATATAGAGTTTGGTTCTCCCATAAGACTTGGAATACCTTCTTCAAGTGCTCCACGTGCTCCTCCAAGGTGTACTATTGATGACAATGTCATCCAAGTATACTACCACGAACTGATCTAAGTAGGGATGAAAAATCTTAGTCATCAACGTGCAAAAGGTGGTGGGTGCGTTGGTTAAGAGAAAGGGCATCACCTACCACTCATAGGCTCCGTATCTTGTCACGCACACTGTCTTTGTCTCATCCCCCTCCGCAATGCGCACCTGGTAGTAGTCCTTTCGGATATCCACCTTGGTAAAGTACTTGGCATGTCTAAGTCTATCAAACAAATCGGCAATAAGCGGGATAGGGTACTTATTCTTGATTGTTACCTTATTAAGCGCTCGATAGTCGATGCATAGTCGTAATGATCCATCCTTCTACTTTGGAAACAACACAGGCGTGCCATGAGGTGCTTTGGACGGTCGAATGTGACCGGCCTCAAGGAGCTCCGTCAACTGCTTCCTTAGCTCCTCTAACTCGGGTGGAGCCATGCGATAGGGTGCATGTGCGGGTGGCTTGGCTTTAACCTGTAACTCGATCTTGTGATCTACCTCGCGCCTAGGAGGTAGAGTCTTCGGCAGCTCGTCCAGCATCATGTCCTTGTTCTCTTCAAGCACCTTCTCAATGACCGGTGGAAATGGCTCATTGGCACCATTGTCTTCTCCCGAACTTGCAATGATGGTAATGAACGTCGGCTCCCCCTTCTTAAGGCCCTTCACAATTTGCATGTCGACAATTGGGCATGTCCTTCCTTCTTTGGCACCTTGACTAGAGGTACCATGCATGAACCTTCCCGCTCCATGACCATGAGTTGTTGGAGGTAGGGATCGATCATCATATGACACTTTTGGAAGAACTCTTGCGCAAGAATGATATCAAATATATCTAAAAGAGCGACGGTAAAGTTAGTCTTACCTTGCCACTTCCCCAACGTGATGCGTACTCCTTGGGCAACTCCATACACGAGAGTTGGGGGTGCATTGACCGTCTTGAGGCGGGTGTTGCTTGGATTATAACTTAGCCCCAACCTTGTTGTCGCCGTCTTGGTCATGATGTTGGCTTTGGCCCCGAAGTCTACCATGGCACGAGTTGGTCGTCCG